CTATTTCCAGTCTATGTAGCAGAATTAGTTCTTCCGGAAGAGTTCAGGTGTCTAGTTTATGAAACGTATTTCAAAGTGCCTGTCTCTGTAAACACTACTGTGGGCACTCACGCAGAACATTTTTAATCATCTGAACGCTGCCACAGTGGTCACATGTTGCGGTGTCGGCCATCCGATTGCAGAACGCGTACTCATGCGTAAATGCGACACCAAATCATAATATACGCAGAAGGGCTGCGTCACATCTACGACGTCCCAGAGGAATTCGAAGATTGCGGGTTGGATTCAAGAAATACAGCCGTGCGTGCTTGGAGTTCAACTCATTCCACTGCGATGTGGTGCATTAGCGAGCAAGCACGCGGAGCTTCCATTTAGCGTCAGTGCTTGAGAGTGGTATTAACCTCTGGTTATTTCCTGTATGAGCTTAACGGTCAGCATGATCGACCCGTTAATTGCCGATAACCCCACAATAACTTTGAAGCCATCGAAAAGTCACTTCACGTCCTTTTTCGAGTAAGCGGCGACCATTTTGTGCCCATTTATCCGTAACACGTCACGCGTGAGCAATGCTGCTCTCGATGTCGTCAGGTGAGACGCCTTAATTTTTATTGCCTTGGACTTCACAGGTTGCGACGGCTACCGTTGAGCTGTTTGGCATAACAGAGGCGTAGGCGTATGCGTGCGTTGAGCCTTGGTACTTCTCATACAGGAGGAGCAAGGCGAGTGGTTTAACAGCTGTTGACAGTCTGTTCTTTTTTACGGATGCCGGGTATCACTAGATTGAGGCTACGAAGAGTCAGGTACCAAGGAGAGTTTGAAGGTCTCGTGGCGGGCGCGAAGCATATCGGCAAACACTCGCTATACACGGCATTCGTTTTTTTTTTTTTTTTGCGTAGCCTGTCTGAGGCTAGTTGGTAGCGGGGAGTGCGAACAAGATGACTTATATGCGTCCTCAGTGTTTCAACTTCAATGTGTGTTTTTACGAGGTGGTCTCCGGCGATCGCTATAGAAGCCATCGCCGATGCGCTAGTAGGTAGGCCTAAGCGAACGCAGAGCGCTTGGGCATGAACACTTTGCAATATTCGTGGGCTTGTTTTGCTCACTTTGGTTTATACAGGCAAGCTGTACCACAGGAAGCCGTGAAAAAGTTCCCTGTACAGCTAGCTGTAGCACTGCACTGGGCGACATTGACGTTCTTCACAGGGAAGACTTGGGGCACCCTTTTAGGCTTCCGATTCTGTCTCCAGCGATGGTGGTTCATTTACAGTGCTCGGCTGCAGACCCGAAAGACGCGGCAGTAACATTTCAGTAGTATTTTTCAGAGGTTCGAGAACTTTGCGACTAAAAATTTTTGAAGCCGTCCCCTACGGCATCCTTCGTCATCCCATCGCAGTATTCGGATGCAAACCCTCCAATTATTCTAGTGTTTATAATAATTTTAATATTAACAAAATAATAATATATATATAATATTTTATTATTATCACTCTTATAATCATCTTACTATTCCCTAACAGACGCGTGATGTCCCGTGACTATAAAAATTGTGCGTATTACGATGCAAAAATGTTACATGGATCACTACAAGACCGACATGTTTTTCTGACAGAGCAATGTCGTTCGACTCCTGGTATCACGAGGAACGCAAGTTGTTACAAGAAGCTTTACTGGACGCGACAAGCGAACAAACACGAGCTGGCGCATGCGTTGTTTCTGTGTTTGAAATTTACACGCAGAATTGTTTAAAATGCTAAAACGTTGAGGTGCACCACTGTTTTGTGCTTTAGGAATTCACAAACAAGGCCACGTTTCATTTGTGATTGTGCTCGCTGTCTAGAACGTACGAGACGCAGGGTTCCTAGGGGCATGACCTTACAAGTGGAGCAGGCTACAATGGCATGGCTCTTCCTCAGCGCCTAACTTTGATATTCAGGTGGCTACAATTGTTTTGCGCATGTTTTGGATCGCCCTGCAACGAGTTGAAAATCTCGCATTGCACTGGCTGCTCCAAAGATACGGACTGGCAGGGTGACTAACCTTCGTATTTACAAACGCTTCTTGACTCGAATTTCGTCCTTCACTTGACAGCATTGAGCACTGCGCCTCTGCTCGACTGAAAATGACGCTTCACTTCTAGAGAATCGCTGCAAATTATCGATGATATGCAGTGACTTGTTCTGCCTAGAGACGGCCTCCCATCTACTTTCTCAAGTCAAGGTGAACCGTTGAGTGAAGGGACGTTCTAGAATACGGGGGTAAGCCCCTTGTGCGTCACACTGCAGTCTCGGAAATAAATGTACATTAAAGTTTTTGGAGCAGCTGCCATGTTATGAAAGCGCAACGTATCAGAGCTCTTAAGGAAGCCTTGAAAGCGAATAGCCTAACACGTGCAGCAGTGCAAGCCAAACTGCAGCTCACGCTCTCACAAGTGCTTCCACGCACACTCAAAACAAATGCGTAGGCAGAAGTAAGGACAGCTGTATGAGATCGTGTGATAACGAAGCCGATAAACAGCCCGAAGTGCGCAGACAGCAAAAAATGAAAAGTAAAGGCGGTCAAGTGAACGACCGTGCCATCGCTCAACGTGCTGTTATTCGCCCTTTGTATGTTTACATACTTGCCTCTATTTCTCAATAATAAAGCGCGTAGCTGTAGAAATCGTTTACCGTTGGGCAGAAGCAGAATTTTCAAAGCCACATGCTTCTTCATTGGCAGTCATCACACTTCGTTTAAAAAATAAAGGTCATAGAAGCTAGCGACACTTCTTGCAGCGTAGACGCGCTCGCACCAAGTAATACTTTAATCACTTTACCACCCATGCAGTGATCATTTTGTCTTAATAAAGATACCCGAGCTCTTCCAAATAAACAAGCGCCGTCCTTTATACGGTTGTCAATAGGTTGTTCATCCACCACGGTCGAGCAGTGGTCACTGCACTCGACTGCATACCCGGACGCTGCCGGCTTGCTCCCGCCTCGGATGTTGAAGTTCATGACTGCGGAAAGCCTGGCGGCCAATGGAGCGTGCTATGACAGTGCACGGTAATGAACACCAGATGATCAATGCTTCCGGAGCCCCCCAATACGGCGTTTATTATAATCGCATCGGCGTTTTGAACTGCAGACATCGTGAATGCGAATAGGTTGCTTACGGTTTCTTTGTTATCGCGTCATGGCCTCCGCAGTTAGTCTTGGCAGTGCGCATCTGGAGCCAGTCATGGAGTAAATGTTTAAAGCGACGAGATCCACGCGCGAGACACGCCGAGTTACACATCTCGGGTTTTACACCCCAAAATCACGATATCACTATGGGGGGCGCTGTAGGGGAGGGCTCTGGAAATTTCGTTCCCGTGAGTTTCCTTAACGCGCCTTGACATCACGCAGTACACTGGCCTCTACCAATTAGCCTCCGTCAAAATGCGACCACCACGGCCGGGATCGAACCCGTGGCCTCAGGGTCATCAGCTGAGCCCTGACACCACCCGACCTCCGTGGCAGACAACGTGCATGGTTGTCTACATAAATTTCACTGACCGAACTATCGTGCGCAGCTTCCGCAGCTTTGCGCCTGGTGGGTTACACCGGATATATTTTCAAGAGGGTGTGTAAGTTTACCAATCTCTCTATTTCGAGGGCAACAGCTACCGCCCCTGCCACGCCGCATATTCTTGGCTCGGGTATGTAACGGTGTCACTTGGGCCGCTTAACATATTATTCTTCGGCTACCGACGCTGCATTTTTTCGGCCTGATTTCAATCGCCGAGTCACCTCGAAGCAAGTAACACACGCGTCTGGCAGCGCACTCGATAATGTCTTGCATTACTTTTGACTGATATTAGGAATGTTAACTTTGCGTTTTGTCTTAAAAATGTGTTTCTTGCTCATTTTTACCCGTTTGCTCTGTGTATTCTTATTTTATATTGCAAGAAGGCGAAGTTCTTGTCATGTGGCTGTTTTTATTGAACGGGGAAGTGGGAACAGTCAAGCTGTCTATACGCAGCTGTTATCCCACCAAGCTTGCTGTTTGTGGATTTTTCGTACTTATGTGGCCATAAACTTCCAATTTCACACGGTTTATATCTGATGTCCGGTCACTTTTTCGGAGTAGTTAATGAGACGGACCATCTGTCTGTAGTGTTTTACTTCTTGTTTTTACATTCCAACACCTACAGTTCCGGACAGTTTTGTGAGGATTAGATGCAACTTTGCATATTCTGTCTCTGTGGACGCTATTATGGTTTATTTGCATTCTCGCCTGTTTCTGTCCATGTAAACGTGACAAATGTGGCTCTACTGCTGTCGAAGAACTTCCGTTCAACAAGATTTCGTATTTTCATCACTACGGAAAGGCACACAGCTTTATCGCACGTTCAACTGCACCTGCCGCCAGCAGCTGCTGATGAATTTTTTGACAACGTTGCGCATCCGGCCAAATAAAAGTTGCCAGGAGACATTGTGAAATGGGGAACAAAGCAGCGCAGGAGTGCGGCACACAATAGCACAACAGGAATACTTTTTGAGGCCACTCTGTGTACGAGCTACATACAAACAACAGCTTGCGAATGCTCACATGTTTCTATCAGCCTTGCTTCGGCAGCCTTCGTCATAGAAAAAAAAAGAAATAGGTTGAAATAAATTTTTACAGATGTATAGCTTTCTTAAATGAAATACAATTCGTATGTACTGAAGTGGAATGGGAAAGTAATAAAGCATTGTCTGAGACAAACATTATTTTACAACGACTTTTCATGTGAATTTAACAGGCGTTATAAAGGATAAGCAGGCGTACTAGTGAGCGTATCATATTCGAAGCACCTACACCAAGTGTCATCATTGGAACTTCTTTTCTGTGAGTCAAACGAGGGCTTTCCATGATAATCAGTATACGCAGCTTGTCTGCTTTGGTCTGATAGAGCACCTCCTGTTGCACTTACGCCGGCACAGCGGCCACTTCATTCATCGTTATCGCACAGCGATGATACGATTACATGTACTCGAGAGTTCGGGCAGTGATCAACACGTGCGTCGTCCACCACGTCCTGCTGCTGAAAGCGTTTCGACACCAAGCATTGGCTAGTTGCATCTTATGCCGTTCAAAACCAGTCGTCCCAGTAGGAGTGCTCCTCTGCTGTCGTGTTGTTTGAGTAAGTGTTTTGAGCTCTATGACACTATTTACTCCAGCGGCACCATTCACCGCAGTCAACTACAAGTTGACGTTGGCACACGCGCTGGGCCCCTTGGACCAACCATCACCGCAATCACCTCGCATGTTGTGCTTCCGTAGCAAAAGCTACATCAGCTGGCGTGGCGCATCTGTCAACTGGCTAAGTTGCGGCGGCATCGCGCTGTGCACGACTTTTATTGCGCCACAAGTATTCGTACAACGGAACATCTTGTATCTTCTCAGCCGGCAAGATCATGACCGACAAATACGGTGAAGTTGTGCGCGACCCTAGCAACGAGCAGTCAGCTCACATAGGTGATGGCGCCTGCTATGTCACATATGGCAGTGCCAATAGTGTCAACGTTTCTGCCGACGGCGGTCGCCATAACGGCTTCTGTAATGAAGCCTTCGAAGCATCTGATTCGTTGGAGAAACTTTCTAGTGTGGGTGATTGCTCGAGCACGAAGGACTTCGTCGCTTCCGGTGTTACAGAAAGGGCTCGCCCTGTCATCCAGCGCTCACTCACCTTGGTCGAGACTACCATGCTTCGTCCCCAACGCGTTTCTCAACGAATACGCACCTTGTCCGCGGGTGTGCACACAGAGTACGACGTTACACGAAGACGTAACTCCCGTCGGCTGCGATTCTGTCCCCGCGGTTCTCTTTATGATGTCATCCAAGACCTGCCCTTCCGTCCCATCATTGGAAACGCCGAAGAAGGCAACGTCGCGGCGACCATACGGGAGGAGTCGTCACCTGTTCCTCCGGACAAGTCGATGTCCGATGAAACCAAGGACGATGATGTGGATGAGACGCCGGTAGAAATCCTGGTTCAAGTATTCGTTCCTTTTATGCTAGCTGGGCTCGGCATGGTGGCAGCCGGCGTACTGCTCAATAAAGCGAAGGACTTAGACGCATTCAAGCAAATCCCGGAGCTTATGGTTATGGTGCCTCCTCTACTGGGTCTCAAGGGAAATCTGGAAATGACATTAGCTTGCCGTATATCCACGCTGGCGAACCTCGGGAACGCGGGTAGCCGGTCAGCGTTGCTCAACATCGCGGCGGGTAATCTCGCGCTCATCCAGTGCCAAGCAATCGTCGCGGGTCTGGTAGCTGCCCTGCTCGCTGTCATCAAATCATTCGCTGCAGGTGGCTACCTGGACTGGAATCATGTCCTCACTCTCTTCACAAGCGCAGCGCTGACGGCCGAGCTCGCTAGTATCGTGCTTGCGAGCGTCATGATTCTGGTTATAGTGATGTGCCAGCGACTGCGCATGAACCCTGACAACGTGGCCACTCCTGTGGCCGCCTCCCTGGGTGACGTCATTACCCTGGCGCTGATAGCTGGCTTCGCTACATTACTGCATGTTCCTCTGCAAGACTATCAGTGGGTGTCAGGCATATTGCTGGGCTTAGTAGTGCTGCTGGCTCCACTATGGGCCTTTCTTGCTTACCGCAACTCTTACACACGTGAGGTTTTAAGTCAAGGGTGGCTACCAGTGCTTTTTGCTATTGTTATCTCAAGTGGTGGTGGCTACATACTGGAAATCGCCAGCACCCGGTACAAAGGACTCGCCGCCTATCAGCCAGTTATTAACGGCGTTGGTGGAAACCTAGTGGCTGTACAGGCTAGCCGCATATCCACGTATCTACATCTCACCGCCGAGCGGCCAAACCTGCCACCTGATGAGAGCCGCTGCGTTGGCCCCTTTGCAGTCTTCTTCGGGAGTTGTCTTCATGCGAGAACAGCTCGCCTCCTCTTGCTCCTACTTGTTCCAGGTCAACTTATATTTGTGGCGGTTATTGACAGTGTGGAAGGCGATGGCGAAGCTTTTCATGGTCCTTTCGTGGCGTTGTATGTGGCAGCGGCAATTATTCAAGTGTGCATTCTGTTGTACGTCGCCCGTGTCCTCGTATACGCTCTCTGGAGCCGCGGTACAGACCCAGACAACGCAGCCATACCTTTTCTGACTGCACTTGGAGACCTCCTAGGCGGTGGCCTTTTGGCACTTGTGTACTGGATTCTAGATTTGATAGGCTCCAGCCGACCTCTGTGAAGGCCTCACTTAAATGCTTGATGTCCTTGGTGGAGACAGATACTACGCCACCGTGAGTGAAAGGAGGCAGCGAAACTTGTACAGCAGTCCCCTTCCGAGTTGTGACGCCGTCTGAACCAGTGCATCTGCTCAGCACCGCTAGATTGACGTTCGCGGAAAAATAAACATTCTGCCACGTTTGTTACACTGCGCGAGAGACTGTATGTACGCTTGAAAACGTGTCGTTTGTGTGCCAGTATAAAAGTGCTGCATTAGGCTTTATTTTAATGCCGGAACACCCTCCTAATTCGAGCATCGTGCCTCGAATTTACATACTTCGCTGGAATGTGCGCTGAAAAGTGTTCTGGTAGTGGTCTCTTCAGTTCTTGTCATTTGTTACATAATGCATATCTGTTAGACGCGAGACATTGCGATCAAATGTTACATTGTTTGACATAGGCTGGAGTGTTGGTTTTTTTTATAAATGTACATTTTGTAATGTTTTATTCCATTTATTACGTTCTAAGAACGTTAATTCACTTGGTGTTTTGTAAATCTCGTTGTTTCACACTAAATAATTGATTTCAAAAAAACGCCTCGGCCGTTGTTGTCTTCACTTTTGCTTCGAATCATACATTTTTGTGTACTTTGTTGTTAGTCGAAAGTAAATGCCCGACGGCCGCTGTGTAGTCCATACAAGTGATGCTCTGAGGCTCTATAATCCAGCAGTTACTGCAGCTGGCAAAATAATCTCAATAATTGTGAATTATTCTGCCTAAGCCTTTTGTCGGCATAAATGGTAAGGAGCTGGAAGACCATACAGAAGTACCTCAATTTAATCTTCCATTAAATGCTGTTTTCTGGTAGTTAAAAAAAATTGATGCAGGCAATGTTGTGGCTTAATAATGTTACTCCGCCCTTCTCGTGTTATCGGACGGCCCTTCTTTAAGATTTAAGATTTTATTGACGATGTTTTGATTAGATTACATGAAATGCACAACACTGATTAGACCCATAGCCATACGCTAGTATGGGGTCTAACAGGAGAAGGTGTACAGCCAGAATACAATTTGTATAAAAAATCAGAACATCAAAAAACTTTTTTTCAAGAAAACGAACAAAAATAAGCGAGACATTTCATTAGGATTTAGGATGACGTAAAAGCTTTATGGAACGTACAGGAATATATAGTTGACACATTATTACACTTCATTCATAATTAATGAAGTAAACAAGTACAGACAAAACATCAAACTATGTGTAAGGTTTTGTTTATGGTCAATAATATTGTTCTACATGTTGTAAATGTTTTAAGTGCACTTGAGAAAGCCCTAGAATGTTTAATCCTAACTGAATTGTTACTCCCCACTTCAGCTCTTATGAACTGTAGTAAGTGTTCACCATACACGTTTTTAGTAGGTGGAAAATTGAAATGCCGCAATGTCGCGCATCTAGTGACGCGGGACAAGGAAGAAAAGATAGATACATCGAAAGGTACACTGCGTGCACTAACATTACTGATGGTGACGGCGGCTTTATGTTGCAGAATGTAATCAAAAGGTAGAATTTCTAACTTGTGAAACAAAGGCACACTAGGTTCATTATATTCCGCGTGGTCTAATATTCTAAGCACTCGCTTTTGTATTATGTGGATAGAATGAAGGTAACAAAGTATGTTTTAAAGGTACATCCCCATGAATCTAAACAGTATGATAGGTGACAATGAACAAACGAAAAATAAAGGACTCGGAGAATAGTGCTACTAAATATTTTCTAGCAGCCAGTAACATACTGCAGCCAGATGCTAAGTGCATACATAATAAATTTGTTTTTTCTAGTGTAGTTGGCTATCGAACAACTACACCGAGATATTTAAATTTTTATATATCATCAAGTTGGCACTTTTTCATTGTATATCTAAATGACTCGCAGTTTACATTTTGGTAACGGGAGAAAAAATGGTGTATTTGGTTTTCTTTGTGTTGAGTGTTAATTTGTTCACTGTAAACCACTTAAAAATATTTTTTAGATCTTCATTAACTCTATATTCTATGTCGGCTATGTTATCGGCGGTAACTATTAAAGCGTTGTCATCAGCGTGCATTAGAAACTCGGCCGGTTTCAGTATGCATGGTAAATCATTTACATATACTGAGAATAACAGTGACCCCAGGACCGACCCCTGAGGTACCCCTGTCTTATGTTTAATAATAACGACGTAAGATCTTGCAAGCCAACCATTTGATGACGTCCATCAATGTAGTCAGAAAATAGGCTAAAAACTTTGCCACGGAGTCCATAGTGTTTTAATTCCATTAGCAGAATATTAGGGTCGACGGTATCAAATGCCTTTTTAAGTCAATGAAGGCAACTGTCACAAGAAGGTTGCCGTGTAGTGCTGTGTTAATCTTCTGTGATAACGATGACACAGCTGTTGATGTGGAATGGTGTGATCTAAATCCACGTTTCTCGATTGCTTCAGTCACTTTTTTTAAATATGGCGTGCCATTTTTCAACATATTTCAAGTGCCGTCATGCGCAGGTCATGTTTATTATTGCTTTTAACTAACGCAGCCTAGCATTGTAATTGTTGCTGTCAAGAGCAGATTGTTTGGAATGATTAGAACACTGTTGGTCATCCAGTTGATCTTTTCTTCATTTCATCAGTTGCTTATTTTTGTCCACAATGCTTAGAGAAGGCCTCTACCAACGATCTTCAGTATACCTTGATTACGCAAACTCGTTCCTTTTTGCTGTATACCGAAGAAGCCTAGTATGATTGCAGTGTAGGAGGAAAGTTCCATGTTCATCTTTGTTCATCTTGCATTAAGGAACATACTCAGTGTAACAAGGGCACAATAGCGCTACTTCTTGCATGCTCCCGTATTATGTGTTTGAAGTGACCAAGTAAAGGCATATCTGCAGGCATTATTTTCTTCTATAGAATATTAAAGCTAGTGGTTGCACCAAGCACTACTCTTCGATCCCGGCAACGGCGATCAAATTTCGATAGGTGCGAAATACCTGAAACCCGTGAACTGTGCGATATCGGTGCGCGTTAATTAACACCATATGGTCGAAATTTTCGGAGGATCCAATACTGTGTCTCTTATAATCACAGCCTCTCTTAAAATCACATGTTTGTTTAGGGACACAGTACCGCAAATATTGCTAAGATGGCACTTCATGCACGTGGGATTCAGGTCACAACGGAAGCATCAGGCCGATTGCCAATCCTGTGAGAGTTTGAACTGCCTTAGCGATAAATTCCCGGCCTAAAGGAACGGCTATTGTTCACACGCTAACGTCACGCTGACTTCAATATAAAACGTGCGAAGTCTTGTAGGTGGTATGTATGAACAGAACGAATTCGTGCTATCACTTTCGTAATCAAAGAACCGATGGTCGTGCTGACCCAACAACTAGCTTAGTATCGTTGGTATTGTGCTTACTGGAATTCGACTGTGATCATTGCGGAGCACCAACTGCCTTATCACCTCAATATTTTAAAGCATGCCAGCTTTGAGAAGCGTCGTTATGAATATCCTAAAACTTACTGTGCGAGGGTCACGCATTCGAGTGTAAATGCTATCGCGCACTAGTGATTAACGTTATTTGAAAGTATAACAGTGAGTCGTGTGTCGCTTCTTCCCTGTCCTTGTCGTATAAGCGCTGTTTTTTTTATCCTTTTTTTTTGTTTTCTGATTCCAGGCCATTAGACTTGCTGAGTTTCTCGCGTGTTTTGATAACTGCGTTCACACAGGAAATACCAGAAAATACCACCATATAGCGTGAGACATTTCCTAACTTGAAGCACCGTTCTACCCAATTGATAATAAATGCGAAGCATTTCTTAGCGAACTTCGGCGATATTGAGCGTATCTATCTATCTATCTATCTATCTATCTATCTATCTATCTATCTATCTATCTATCTATCTATCTATCTATCTATCTATCTATCTATCTATCTAGATGCTTACGTTTGGGTGCTCTCGTTGTCACCCCCTTCACTTGGCGTGAACATAAATTAGCAAGCCCAGCCGCGGTGGTCTAGTGGCTAAGGTACTCGGCTGCTGGCCTGCAGATCACGGGTTCGAATCCCGGCTGCGACGACTGCATTACCGATGGAAGCGGAAATGTTGTAGGCCTGTGTGCTCAGCTTTGGGTGTACGTTAAAAAACCCTAGGTGGTCGAAATTTCCGGAGCCCTCCACTACGGCTTCTCTCATAGTCATATGATGATTTTGGGACGTTAAACTTCACATATCTATCAACATAAATTAGCATGAGAAGATAAGATGGTTAGACGAATATGACGCGCTGGTCAAGACATGAATAATGTGATAATCCCGTCGCGTACGTCGCCTAACACTTCCCGCCAGACAGTGGCACATACTCACAGGTGGTTATTATGTGCCGCTAGTAAGTGGGTATGTGTGATAGATGATTGACACTTAGTATCTACCCGAAAACGATGAGAACACAAATCGGCAATTTTAACGCGCGAGCGTTAAAAAATACTCGACATCAGTAGCGTCGACCCAATCAAAACATAGAATAAATGTCAGAGTTAAGAAAAACTCTCAGCAGCGTTGGCCACCCGAAAAATGCAAATGATAAATTTCAGGGTCCCAGCAGGAATCAAACCCAATCATTCTGCGTGTCTATCAAGCATTCAACCACACAGTTACGCCAGGTCTACGAACTACTATTCCAACAGACGCTAATATTCGTGAAACGTGAATAGGGGTTGCAGCGCCACCTACTCAATTTTATAAACATTACATGTGTACTCCTTTCATAAGCCGTCACGTCTGGTTAACGTCCATTGTGGTGAGGTGCCACGCGCTGAAATTTATTTATGTAGCAGTGTCAAGGGCCAGCCTCTTCGCGAGCATGAGCACTTCATATCAGCTTCTGATGTTGCTAAAACACATTTCCAGCTGACATAGTTGTGCAAGTAGAAAACTGGTTATAGAAACATCAGCAACTCTTCAACATAAGTCTCTGCGTGCAATATTTGTGCATATATTTGGCGTCATTTCAAGACGTGTCGCTCTATAATGAAAATGCAACACAGCCACCTTCCCTCCGCGTGCTTCACATAAAGTTGATTCCCAGATGCGTGGGATCTGCCGTTTTTTTTTAATTATTACAATTGCTCAGTTTTAACGTCCCAGAACCATGATATGCATAAGACAGACGTTGTAGCCGAGGGTATAGAATGACCACTTTTTTTCTTTTCTGTGCTTCCAAAGACATTAGGAGAGTGTAACAGCTTAGCAGGCGACTTAGTAAATGTAACAATACATGTTTTCTATGTTATGAAGCTGTTCTTCCACTATGTGTGTACTACGTGTATTGAAAATTTATTTCTTGATCCATAATAATTTTACGGTTAGTTTTGTATATCTACGCATTCATTTGTACTGATTATGTTTTGTCCCCCACCACCTACGTAATGCCTATTGGCCAATGTATGAATCCTGTAAATAAATACTTAAATAAATATTTATTCACCAGGCACTTGCACATGCTAAAGAAGTGCTATACTTGAATATTTTCACCAGGAACGCTGCTGCTTCGTGGACAC